TCCATTGACAGCTGTCAAAACAAGGTATCCGCTGACCAGTATCACTTGACTGTATCGCGGGCTCAGGTGTCGACCCATCGAGGTCCAGTGTTTTTTTGAAGTTATCCGCTGACAAAGTACTGGTTTTCAAATGATCGCAGGCTCAACTTTAATTTTTTTTTTAAATTCATATGAAATATGTTGTGTTTATGTGCCGCACAATTAAAATTTTGATTTCAAACTAATCTCGGACGCGAAAATTCAGCCAGCTGCTACAGGTAGGGAAGGCAGTTGCTTTTGACTTTTCTCGCCATGTTCACGCGTTGGTCACGCTCTACGTCCAATTTTTATGCTCTGATTGGTCAAAATTTGACAGGTGAGTTCATGCGGAAAATTTATGCAGCATCTTGAATCTTGTTTACTTTGACGGCTGAAGCTGACAGAGTTTTGTGTCAACTTGTGATGTTTTCAACTTTCTTTTTCCACTGGATGACAAAATGAAATTCAGCTGCTATCAGGAGTCTTCTGTTATTCATGGCTAGTTTGTTTATTGGGTTTTTGGTTGAGTCAAAGTCGGAAATCCGATTTTGGATGGCATCGTTTTCGTTTTCATCTTGCTTAATGCGTAAGAGGGTGGCAAAGTCTGAAGCGATACTGGCCTTACTTGATACCTCTCAGGAGCTGCATCTCGAGTGGTAAGCCTAAGTAATTATTGTATTTGATGTTTGTTTTTTATTCCTAATTTAATGAAGTCGAGCGTAGTTTATGCGGCTATTTTGTTTACGCACGTTTGTAAGATTTGACATGAGACAATGATCTGACCGAGTATCAGGTTTGTTATAAGCTTACAGATCTTTAAAAAGCCTTTAGACATTTTCTCACCGCAAATAGAAAGAAAACGTTTCAAAGAATATCTAGTTATAATTCTGGCTGTAAAAGAAAGGTTTGAGCGATTTTCTTGCCTTGAGTTCGTCTTTGAAAAAAGCAAACACCGTCTCTGTTTATGTTTCACCGAATTATATTTCTTTTATTGGTTGTTAGTACTCTCTCTGATTGTTTTCAGTCGTTCAGTAAACAACGCTTCCCGGAGTACTCAAAATGCCGCGCGTTAAACCGTTTTAAAATAAAAAATAAACATAATAAAGTCTTTATTATGTTGGAGCGTAACTCTGTTAATGTTCATTCAAACATTCGTCACTGCTAGCATTGCAAATGTCAGAACCGGCTGGCCGTATAGATGATTTTGAAAATTTTTTCAACGGTCTACGGTTAAAGCCCACGCGTGCTTCGATCGTCCTGAATAGCAATTTGTATCGCAATATTGTGAAATATTCCATTCTGTTGTCCGAGGTCTGTATGATAAAAGCAGTGCCTCATAGAACTGTTTCCCCTCAGATGTGATGTATAAATGATATAAAAGGTTGGTTTACACGCACCCAGATTTGTTGGCAAGATTTTGTAAAATAAACTCGTCGAACGCAAAAATTTCCAGGCCTAATTAATCTACGGTGATCAAGAGCCATTATGGCTCTTAATAAATGTGATCGAAGATGATTGCCAGTTTTTGGGTGTACTTATGAGGCTATCAACTCGATGTGAGATTTGGTTCACTCTTGGGCTGTTTGCAAATTATTTTTTGTAAAATCACTTAGCCTTTCCCTGAAAACTCACGAATGTGCTCTAAAGTTAACTGAATTGTGGAATACAAGTTTATTGTTTGATTTAAATTATAAATTTATTAATGGGAGCCTCGCTTTTAGCCCTGGCTAAATCTATATTATTATTATTATTATTATTATTATTATTATTATTATTATTATTATTATTATTATTAGATTCTACTTTAATAACACGCCATCGTGATGTCACGTACTGTTATCATTAACTATAAATTTTAAATTTAGATCGAACATGTTGTAAGATAAGTTGGTTTGTCTGGGTAGGTAAACAACTCAGCTTTAGCCAATTATTACTTACCTTTAGTCTTTGCTGATACCGTAACATAATTCCATTTGTTTCTATCTTTCTGCTGTTCATTTAACTCATTGACAGAGTAAACTCGAAACTTCAGGAAACTATCAGAAGGCAAGCCATTTATTTTCACAGTACCATCTGTGTTGTTGTCCTTATTTGGTTTATACCCTACATTTCCTCCACATGACTCTTTACAATCCTTGTATTCGCTGGACTTGCATCTGAAGCAGTCTATAGAATATCTCAACTTCCCATCAATTTCATCAGGTGAGCGTTCCCACATAATCTCAACATAAGTGGCCTTCACAACAGTGGCATTTGCATTACGTGGTGCCTTTGGTAAAGCTGAGGGAGAAATGATTTAAGTACGTGAGCACCGGGAGATTTCCTCAAATGGCCGCTTCACGCTATTTGCTATCTTTTTAAAAAGCTAAAATGTACCTTTGCGTCCATTGAATTCCAAAATCAAAGGCCCAGTTTTGTTATTTAAGACTATATTGAGGCATTAGAACTGTTTCCTGTCTTCTCTTGCGGGCATAAAACTTGAAAAGATGGGCCAACGTTTTGAAGTTTTTAATGCTATGTGCTTCCAAACATTGCAAAAAAAAAATATTCCGATCAGTGCTATACCTGATGAAACTTGTTTGATATCTTCTTCATGTTTCTTCAGAAATATTTTTTGTATGGCCTAAGGCGCGCGGCACCACGCGTAATGGCTAAGAAGTAGAGAACTGACCAAAAATAGCAATATCCTCGTGGCATGCATAGCCCCTTTTCAATATGTAACAAATTTACATAAAAGAGTACACTGTTAGCAAAGGGTATAGTTTTGTAAAATGGGTAAACATAAATATTTGATTATTTTACATTGATCATCTTCTTGTAAATCCTATTATTATTGTAGGTACTAACTAACGAATAAAATTAAATTAAAATTTGTTTTTACCTTTTCGCAACAAAAATGTAAACCTTAAATTTGTTGGATTTTCCGAAACAAAGAATAAGTTTAAAATGATACTGTATGTTTATTATAGGTGTATATGTTTTGTGTATTCTTTAATTTCTTCCCTTCAGTTTTAGTTAGAATCGAAATTAAGCAAATTCATCTTCGGATAGCCGTGGATGCAATAGTTCACACGTGAATAAACTACTAGGTGGTTGCGCCCGGAAACGAGGTTGATCAATGGTATAAAGTTGACGTAACCTTGTTTCCAGGTCAATATACTATCAAAACGATGGTATATTACTTGCATCTTCCAAATTTGGTCAACCCCGCGATCGCTGGTTGATTATGAAGAAAAAGCCGGGGGATTTGAGCTAATCAGAAATGGCGAATTATTTTGAATGAATGATAAATAAAATTATAAAACTCGGGTGCTGCAATTACCTTTGCAAGGAGTTCCATGTAATCCAGGTTTCTTGTAGAACCCTTCATGGCATAAGCAATCTGTTCCTCCAGTATTAGACGCTGAGTTTGCAGGACACTCGTCACATTTACTGTTACTTGCCACACTCTTGTAAAAGCCTCTAGGGCACTCTTAAAAAAAGATTGGTATAAACATTTCTTAGTGAATGTCACGGGAAGAGCTTTTTAGTTTTCTCATTGACTCCAAGTCGTTGTATGTAAAGTTTGAAAAACAAGTAAAACCAAACCATGTCTTGCAGGTAATACAAACTAACGCCAACACACTTGAACAAATAGAGACCTTTACATTCTAGGACGAGAACGACTACGAGTACGAAATTTCACTTGAAAGTTTTTTCGCGTATTCTCAAATAATAGACACACTGGATAGCTTCATTGTACATCTTTTTCACAAAAAAAAAAAATAGCACTGTTATCTTTATTAAACGAGGTTAAGCTATCCCCAGACGCAAAATAATACAACCTATACAACTTTATAACTTGTGTCCGCTAACAGAACATTCTCGCTGAAACTAGTAGTAGAATGACTTCACGACTATCACGTTTTCCCGCCAAAATAACGCTGGTTTGAGCGTGCGCACTAATTAGTATTGAGGAAATCTCGTAGTCGTAGTCGTAGTCTTCTTATAATTCTAAAGCTCTCTAATAAATAACAGCATATTTTTTCTCAGATCCGTTGACAAGATAATAGCCTGTTCCTAAGCAAATTCAGATGTTCCGTCTAGCAGATATTCTCTGAATAGCAGATGTCACCCATAGAGTTGTAATTTTGCTGTTCTTGCTTTATGTTAGTCAGAAGTTCGGCTATTTCTGTCTTTATTTCTGTTTCTTTTTTAGCAAAGTGTGTTTTTTCCCAACATTGTGTAGGCTTCATCAACACGACGGCAACCCGTCACCAGGAATTCCAGGTTTTCGTCCTTTTTCTAAAAATTACCCTGTACTGTTAAGTCCTATTCGAATATCACAAACGTCTTCCAAAGCTGATTGTGAAGAATTAGTCGTGGGAGCTTTAATTCAGTCGTCTTCACTTAGTACTATACAGTAGTCCTGACCAACAAATACACAACAGACATGATGTGTTTGGGAATCCCGAATTACATGTTTTTGCGTTAATTTTGGTAGCCTTTTTATTGCTGACAGTGAAATGTAATTTTCTTCTTAGTATAGGTCATAGCATGATTTGTAGTGATATTTGGCATAAATACCACGAGTGATATTTCGAAATTGTTATTGAGACAATTTTAGACAATTTTGAAATATCACAAATCATGTTATTATTTGTTTATACTACTACTCACAAAAGGTTTGTAATTTTCACATGTAGGTATTTCAAATTAAGCTGAAATACCACTGCTCTAAGCCAATCAAATTGCAGAAATTTCTCATGCAGTAGTATAAGAGAGAAAATCCACATCTGGCGTCGTTTTCAAAGACTACGGATTATTTTTTCATCAATATTTGAGTGATGTAATCTCTTTAACTCTACTAGTGGATAGCCTTCTTTTGCTGGTATCGCAGTGACGCCATGTTTTGAGTAAGCTTTGAAGCCATTAGCCGTCCCTGAAAAGGTCTGGGCACTAAACAACTCGTCATCAGCCGCAGTCGTGCCTTCAGCCAATTATTACCTACCTTTAGTCTTTGCTGATACTGTAACATAATTCCATTTGTCTCTGTCTTTCTCCTGTGCATTTAACTCATTGACAGAGTAAACTCGAAACTTCACGAAACTATCAGAAGGCAAGCCATTTACAGCCACAGTACCATCCGTGACGTTGTCCTTATTTGGTTTATACTCTACATTTGGTCCACATGACTCCTTACAATCCTTGTATTTGCTGGACTTGCATCTGAAGCAATCTATAGAATATCTTAACTTTCCATCGCTTTCATCAGGTGTGCGTTCCCACACAATCTCAACATGAGTTTCTTTAACAACAGTTACATTTGCATTACGTGGTGCCTTTGGTAAAGCTGAGGGAGGATTGATTTTTATAAGTTAACAATGATAATTTGACATTTTTTTCCCCATTATTAAGGCAAATCGCGTAAAGGGGTATTATTCGGGCAGGGTAGTTTTGTAAGTAGGGACAAATGGGAAATATGTGATCATCCACATTGCATGTTTACCTTCTTTTGAAATCTATTATTGTAAGTACCAACTTACAGTAATTAAGAGTAAAGTAAAAGACTACTATATGCCTTTATGCCAACGCTAGTCCATGATCAATAGCCACACAATTATTTCAATAACAACAAACGTAGTTCATTAGCTCGATGCCATAGACCACGCTTGAAAAAAAAGGTTAAAACGAGAGAGTTTTTAGTAAGAGATATTTGCCATTTTGTGCCAGAAAAGTCTCAAAGCAAGCAAGATATCGAGATCATCGGAGATAAGCTGTTAAAATATTTTCAAAGAATTGTTTTATTCTTGCTAAATGAAGTTACCTAGAAATAGATCTTTAGGGCCCGAAAGTTCTAAATTATATCCTTGAAGAGTATTCCTATTATAATTTTGGTAATTAAGCGTTTCAACGCTGGTTATTTATTTATTTATTTATTTATTCATTTATTTGGTTATGAAGAAAGAGCAGGGCGATTTGAGCAAATAAAATCTTAGAACTATACGATTACCTTTGCAAGGAGCTACATGTAATCCAGGTTTCTTGTAGAAACCTTCATGGCATAAGCAACCTGTTCTTCCAGTATTAGACGCTGAGTTTGTAGGACACTCGTCACATTTACTGTTACTTGCAACGCTCTTGTAAAAGCCTTTAAGGCACGCTTAAAAAATAAGATTGATAAAAACATTCCTTAGCACTATGTATACGGAGCCTTCGTTAGTTTACTAATTGATTTCAAGTCAGTGCATGGAAGGTTGAAACAGAAAGGGTTTGCAAGCTTAGTCTAATGAGCAGCATTTCACAAAGTCAGGGGCACGCAACGACGATTTCCTCCTAAATACACTGAAAGCACTTTTAGGCTATTATAAGCGGCATAACTGCGGCGCTATAAAATTTGTATGTGTACAGTCACTGTAGGAGAACTTGAGTCTTTTCGAATTTACAAGGGCTTCAGTATTATTATCCCGAAAATTTTATATGCAATTTATCGTTTACGAAAGAGAGAATTTTCCTATTTTCCTCTCTACATTACATTTTTGAATCCGAACATTTAAGTTTCCCTTTTTGTACGAGAAATAGCCCAACATTTCCAGTGAAATGTGAAAAAATCAAGTTCAGAAAATTTTGAGAAAATTTTATTATTAGACAAGCGTGAAAATTGTACATGAATGGAAAGGGCATCCAGAAATTCTTAGCCGTCCTAAACCAATAGAAAATTCTAGGCCATGTTTGCGGCTTTTCCGAACAGATACAGTATAAACACCCGCATATGAGAACACACGATTTCGGACGCTTAATGACAAGTCAGCCTCAAAATGTTCTTAAAATGTTCTTAAATTTTTATTTAGTAATACTATCCAAAACATGTTGCTAGAGGTATATTTAGCATATTTTAGGAAAAGAAAAAAAATAGTTATTCTGTAATTTGATTATATTATGTATTATTTTATATCATAAACTTGCGTGTTTTGTAATTATGACACTTTTTCCATTTTATAAGAACATGTCACAATTTTCAGGCAGATCTTGTTCTCATAAAAGTGAAGCTTTATTGGCCAAATTTTAGCCTGGTGTTCTTAATCCATTTGTTCTTATATGCGGGTGTTTACTGTATTTTACAGATTAAACAGTCGTTGGATGCCCCCGACAAGGTAAGATGATTTACGATTGGCAAATAAAGACTAGGAGAAACAGTACCAGACTGGTACTATAAGTTTCTAAGCATACATTACTGTACCTAAGGATTTGTAACCTATTACTAGTGTGTCTGTGTATTGTTATTTAAAGTGATTAAGTTCAATGAAGTGAATAATAATGATAATGATAATGATAATGATAATGATAATGATAATGATAATGATAATTATAATAAAACCTTCACCGCCACTCTTAAAAAAAGAGAATTTCCGTTCATACCACTGCATTCCAGGACATTTCCCCTAGATCCATTGACAAGCTCATAGCCAGGTTTACAAAGACACTTGATCGTATCCGTGATGTTCCATTCTTCGTTACTAAGGCAAACGCCTGATAGTTTCACTTTGTTAACAGAGTTAACATCAGTACATCGTCCTGTTTGTTCCTCGAGAAAAGAGTCATTAACTGGAGCAGCTGCCCTTGAAAATCTCACCAGAACCCTGTCAATCTCGGAGCAATAATTGTAGCTCACAATAACACTTGATAATGACACACAGGCTCCTTGGTCTAAGAATGCAAGATACACACCTCCCTTTTTGGTTATGATTTTAACATCATAATCATATTGCTCTACTTTTCCAGGTGGAGGCAGGACTGTTGGCTCAATTGTTTCTACCTTTTGATATGTTACTTCAGTAGCTGTGAGTGGGTTTAAATCAACTCCAACTACTTCTTTTTCTACATGAAGCAAATAAATGCTCCATTTGTGTTTGCAGAAAGAACTTGCAGTTGGTGGACATCTACGAAGGTTGTATTTCAGTTTAATATTCAGCATTTTAGCATCCTTGACGGCAATAAAATCTGTTCGTAGCCAGTTTGTTGGCTCGGTTGCAATGGTAATGTCACAGACTGAATATGTCCGGCTTGATAAAAAATTCCACTAAAAATAATGAAAGAGACGTCAAAACGCATTGTACATGTACTTCCAGGAGTGCATGAAATAAGGCCTTTGGTGACTCCTGCCCTAACATCAACTTCTCCCTTTCATTGTGTCGTGCAAATCGGAGAGAGGATCTACCTGTTCACCAGAAATCGCTGGAGCTTTATCCCAAGCACCCCAGCAATTTACTTATCCTACTAGAAACACTACTGGCTGGGGCCGTACTTGGGGAATTTACCGAGTTATTTACAATTTGCTAATTAAAGTTAACTCGTTTGAATAAACTGCGACAGGGCCAGGTTTTCTACAGTCTTAACTGACTTCTAACTGGGTTATGCAAATCAAGCAAGAACATTACACCACCGCGCGAGGTAGTTTAACGCAGGTTAACCTTGTCAATCAGTCGATCATCTCCGCTTACGCGTGAGAATGGTCCAAATTTTGGCTTTACCATGTTCGTAAGCACAACAGTTTCGAAATTACTTCTTTCGCTCCAAGGTCAGTCAAGACTTTTAAGAAATCGACCTCTTTTTATTATTTTGTCAGTCACTCTTAGGAAAGCGTTATGAGCGACTCTAGCGAGCGAAAAAAAAAAATTAATTATCGGACGTACACATACCCCCGCCGTGGGGGGGGGGGGGAGAGGGCAGATGGAACCCCTCCCCGGAGTATTTTATATGTTTTTGATTTTACCTTTGGTACAAAGCCAGTTTTCATCTTCTTAACAAGATGAGGTTTATTTTATGAGTGGGGGCACTGCTGGAGGCCTGTGACGTCACCAACAATGGTCGCCATCTTGGCAGCTATCTTGGATTTTACCAAGAGTTAGAAATCAGGCTAAAACCGCGAGAAATGGTATTTTTTAGTTTTACATGAAAAATAACACATAAATAAGCACTCTACAGGATTTTAGCCAATATTCACTTTCATTGTTGAAAAAAGTTGAAAAAGCATGGTTTTTCACCCCAAAATGGCTTGACCACCTGCTACTTATGACGCCATATCTAGTAACTGACGATCACTGAACTTGTCTCAAAAAATGTGCGCAAGGGATGAACGAACAGCTACTTAAAACGTCAGGTGCTGATGTTTTATCCTCTAGGATCGGAAAAAACTCAGAAAAACCTTAAGGTTATTTATTTATTTATTTAACCCCTTCCACCATATGGTGCGGAACACACAACAACGCAAGGCTCCAATAGACCTTTTTACCGATACGGCGACCATATTGAATTAATTCGATTTAAGGAGTATTATAGGATGCCCTGGGGGCATGAGCACATTTCGTTTGTATTTTCGAGCGCTTTTCGGGACATTTTTTCTCAAAGTTTTCTTAGAATAAGATTGTAATGGGAAAAAAGATCCTTGTGCCGTCTTTGGATGTAATAATGATCGCCTTTTTCTAGTTTTAGTATCAGAAATATGGTCTTTCACTGTATATTTCTCGGGAAAAAGGCAATCATTATTACATGAAAACGCGGCTCAACGATCTTTTTTCCCATTACAATCTTATTCTAAGAAAACGTTAAAAAAAAAATGTCCCGAAAAGCGCTCGAAAAAACAAACGAAATGTGCTCATGCCCCCTGGGCATCCTATAATACTCCTTGAATCAAATTCATTCAATATGGCCGCCGTATCAGTAAAAAGGTCTATTTAAGTGTGTCTTTGCAGATAACCCACCCGGCCCAGGAGAGGTTGGCCACATCACCGGGGTCTACATCCCCTACTCTTTTTGAACAGTGGTGTGGGTTCTGTTACATTCCTTAAGAACCAGATAAGTGAAAGTGCTGTGAGACAAGACCTACGGTTTTTCGCCCTTATCCGAGAAGACTAGAAAGTCTAACCGTTAGCAGATGTCATTACAGAGACAGCACTTTCTCTTTTAAAGACCCTGAGTGTTGGTCCGGCCGGGGTTTGAACTCGAGACCTCCCGCTCAGCAGACCGGTGCTCTCACAACTGAGCTAATCAGGCGGCGGTTATAATAGTTTTTATTGGAATATCGGCTGAACTTTACATGCTTTTCGCGTTTTTCTCCCCCTTTTTTTCACTGAATCGTGTTCGTTCGGGCATGGTTTGAAAAACCTCTTCCCCAGTCCTCCTTGCAAAAGTTAAATCTCAAAATTGTCTGACTGTTAAATGCGATGACGTCCCAATAGAACGGACGGAATCCGTCGGGTGGTTGAGGATGGTTCCGTGGTCGAATGGGTTGAACCAAATCCTGTTTGTTTGCAATAGTGTTATTTCGAATAATGTCATTACAAAATGTACAGTGTATCCATGGAGAACAGTGTGGAGATCATGTGTATTGATATTTGCCTAAATAGTTCAACAATTAAAGGATGGAGAGAAAAAACAAAAGTGGTTGCAATTATGTATTCAAGTTGGATTAAAGAGTTTTACTCACCCCTGCGCCATCAGTACCTTTCTTTGTGGTATGCCAACTCCAAAGTACACCATCAGCAGGTCTTTTGAGCAAAATATCTAAGAAATAACGCAAAACTTGTCACAATTAAGGCAGGTCTTCTCCGTCTCCTTTTGCGTACGGCTACCTTTGGGGAAGTCGCGTGAATTCACAAGAGGGCTTGCTCGTAGACTATCTTTTAATTGGGTCATTTATCTATTGTTTTGTTAGCGAATTAAAACAGCTTGTTAAGAGAGCTTCGTGACGCGCCAAGACTTAACAAGGAGAATACAATCTAGTCCAAACTTTCTACTGGTTTATTGCGGGAAGAAAGTACAAGTAAAAAAAAATAATGATGATGATAATGATGATTATAATAATAACAATAATTAAAAGTAAATTATAATAAACATAAAAAAACTCCAGAATCCATTGAGGTATTTTTAAAAAAAATTTATAACTTTGACAATTCAATTCCTAGAACAATGTTGCACCACAACAACAACAGTTGCCATAAAATATCTTCCCATGTCACATCTAGAAGTAATGACATAATCAGTCACGTAACTATTGCCAAATTAGCATTTTGTTGCTGTGACAAGAGTTAAAAACAAATAGCATATTTAGGTTTTGTTTATGTGGGGCATTTTAAAATAACAAAACAACTGAGACTTCTGCAAGCAGTGTGCGTGTGACGAAACCACAAAAACATTACCCTAAACATGTAGACACCTTCCTTTCCACCTTTTTTTTTCTTTTTTAATTCCCAGTAGCTTACTTATTTTTGGTCTTGTAAACCCACTGTCTATGGGGAATGCGAACCTGATCCCCCATACATTTTGAACGGTTTGCCCTGTATGTAGCAACACTCGATTCTTGTTTACTCGATAAACATGCTATGGCGGATCATATACCAGCCACGATAAAATCAGGGAATTCCCCACAATTTATAATAGTGAGCAGATTTCAATACTCCATTCGAAGCGAAATTCTACTAAAATCATCGTATTGGCGGGAACTTAAACGCTCCAAAGTTTCTTCTACGACAGCATGTCTGAACTCTACCGCCAATGTTTGCCGCAAACGCTGATGGACGAAAGACCCGAAAGAGCCCTTAGGAAGGTCCGTCATTGCCTACCACACGAAAGCTTCTCTCGCCTCGACCAATGATCACTAAAGCGTGTACGAAAATTAAAATTTAGACAAGAGGTGTAATTATAATTCAATATAATCATAATTATAATAATTTTTAATTTTCGTACACGTATTATCGTATTATAATTCAGCAGAATTATAATAATAATAATATAATTATTAACACTTGAAGTGTAACTATAATTCTCTGAAGATATGCAAAGCATTATGGGATAATTATGCATACTTCCTAAGTAACTAACAGGTGAGCGGTCACACTTCAAAGCCATTCAAATGCAACTTCCTCATCCCAGGAGAGGATGCAAATTATCAGTTCTTCCTGAGGTGTGACATTGGCGAAGGCCTCATGGTATGGGAGGGTGCTATAAAATAACTGTTAACATCATAGGGGGGGAGGGAAGCATTTCCCCATAATGTTCCGCATATCTTAAGATAATTATAATTACACTTCAAGTATCTCTTGTCTAATTTTTAATTCTCTTTCAATATGCTTCACATTATGGGATAACTATGCGATTTTAAAGAACCGAAGCCAATGCAAGCCTACTGTACTGCAAAAGTTGACATATTTTATTGCCGATAGATCCTCCAACAAAGGGTCTTGAATAGCATAAAACGAGAACAATCTGCTCTCTAGATAATAGTTACGAAATGTACGCTCATTCGTCCTGTCTACAGTACGCAAAATCTCTGCTACTGGAACACCCCCCTTGTTTGCATTAGTGACAGAAGCACAACGGACATTATGTGCCTTAAAAACTGAGGTATCTATACCTGCATTAGACAAAACTGACTTAATCCACCTTGCTACAGAGTTAGTGGACACTGGCTTATGGGGTTTAACAAATAAACTAAACAACTTAGCAACGGCCCGGCTACTGTAGCTGCTGTAGACTCTTTACATAAAGATGGTCCATCAGGCATGATACAAACTTGATTTCAAGAGATTTACCAGGTTTTGAGGTCTTTAAATGTTCTGCTACAAAAAAACTTATACAACCTTGAGACCATCTCTTGAAGTTAAGATCTAAAGCACAGAGGCACACGGCAAAGTACAAAGCATTACACGAATTCGAGAGTTATTCTTAGGGAAATCAGAAGAGACTGTTAGTATGAAACTGCAACAATTGTTTATTTTGAACGGCTATCTTGACCGAACTTAAAAAAAACTATATTGGGACATTAAGTCAAAAGATAGACTAAATATTACTTAAAATCACCACAAACAGTCCAATCAAGTTTAGAGACCGCCACAAAATCATAATAATATTGATACTGCGTCCGAATTAATCAGTGAAACAAAAAATAAATATAATGGTTCGATCAGGAACGCGAAACAGAAAAAGAAATCCCTTGAAGAGCAAATTTCACATAACACTTACAACTCTCAGCTAAGACACCTACTGAAGGATAAAAAGAAAAGATAAAAAGAACGGGGCAAC